TTGAAGAATAATATATTTTTCCTTAAATCAATGGCGAGATATAATGAGTTTGATATCACAATCTGAGAAGAGAGTCTCAATATTTGGTGATTTTATTAGACATAAGAATAATTCCTATTGATATTACAAATATTTATTTGAAGGAAATTACAAAGGTTTCAACAATGATCAAATAAAAGGGTAGTCTTTTGACTTAGAATGGAACATTACTGATAGCTGAGAGGACTTAACAACTACCTTCAAAAGAAACAAAGATCAAGATATGTGGCAAATACAATTGGCCACATCTTAGACTTGTTCAATATGTGATTATTCCTCCTTGTAGAACTTGTTATTAAAAGGAGAAATAATATCATAGACATATGTTTATTGTAATTGTTATCTAAATAATATGAATAGGTAGAAATAAATAAAAATAAATTAATTTCATAATATCTTCTATAGAAGCTTCCTAAAGGCTTCATAGATATTGCTTTGACTTTATATGTATTTTCAATTCATTAATAGATTAAAAACTTGATCAACAAGTTAATCACATACTATACATTATTATATTATGTGAATTCTTGCTCAAGAATGTATATAGCACTTAGTTGTCGAAGATAAAGTTGTATTTTATAAATATCCAGAAAGCCTAATAAGTTTCAACTATCTAAATATAAATTAATTCAAATTTCAATTTAGAAGTGCTTAAAGCCAATACAAGTGCTCAAAAACACTCTTCTTAATAACTTCAACTATACACAAATTCCAATTGTCTTATTACTTTCATAATTAGGTAGTTTCAATTTTTTCTTACAAGCCTTAATCCTAATCAGTGAGTTTTAGTAAGGTATAATTCTTAATTTGATCATCTACTTAGTGAAAAAAAATTTATAAAAATGCCACTATAAGTCTTCTACATGATCAAAAAAATTCAATCCAATTCAACTTACAAATTATAAGAAAAAACCTAAAAATCACACTGATATTACTTGGCTGTCAACTTGAAAGTTGATGCAAATATTTTAGAAGTGATTTTCCCTTCTTTAACTATTAACTTTAATTCAAAATCAGTGCATAGCTTAATCTTAAAGTCTTCTACAACTATGCCAAATTTCATCTTAATTTGACTAATAGATCTTTAGATATCATAAAAACCCTTTTCAACTCCAAACTGCCAACTTTTAATATACTCTTGTATCAAAATCTAAACATCTCTCAATTTCATTATTAGATTAATACAAAATTTTAAACACACTCAAAAAATCCAATCAAACAAGCAATGTCAAATTTTGAACCATAGATGTAATATCAATTGCACAAATTAGCCAAGAAAGCCAGCCTTAATTGTATTGCATAAACTCCAAATCATTGATACAAATCCTAACTTTAAAGAATAATTACAAAGTTATTCCAAACCCTTTGAAAACAAATCTTATACTTCTAAAATCTACTTGAAGCTAGCTCACCAATCCTAATTGTTAATCTTTAAATTTCCTTCTTTGCCCTAGGCAATCATTTTAATAGCTAAAGGTCTAATTTTGATCCTATCCCACAAATGGTCAACCCTCAGATATCAATCTAATCTATCATAGGCTTTATTTAGCTCAACCCTACTCTCAACTTAATTCCAGTATCAACCATGCTAATTATTTATTTTCTAATTTAGTTTTATTAATTTATGGCCTTTCTAAGATAGTAATAGATTTCCACATCCTAAAAGATAAAATTATTAACCAACTTTTAATCTACTGGCTATTAAGACAAGAAAATAAACTAAAGGACTTTTATAAAAGCTATATTTAAGTATCTTAAATTATTATTGAATCAAGATGATTAGATATTAATTATAAGTTTATTTTTTATTATATTTTTACCATATAGTTGTATTATAATATGACAATATGTTGGTAGCTTGCAAAACAAGTAAATTATGTGGCTCCCATATAGAAAAATTGCCTTGCAAGCTAAAATACATGTTGTGAAAAGTCAACATATTTTGGAGGTCCTATAGAATGTTGCCACTTAACTCTTAGATAGATAGTATATGTAGAGGCAAGAATGAAGCCTTTTCGATTCTTATCAATTCCTTACTTACTTCTAGTTTAGTTTCAAGAGTCTTTAATTTTCTTATCTTTTGACAATAGCCATTCTAGTTTCTTTTTAATATACATACTTCCTTATTTCTATTTTGTCATATTTCTTTGAAAAAATTTCATATTTTTTTTTGCTTTCATCAAGTTCTTGTCTTTGATATCATGTTTTCAGTCTCCATCTCTCATTTCTTATTTCGTGTCCATGTTTTCAACTCCCATTCTCTATCTTTATTCTTTGTCCCTGTTCTCAATCCTTATTTTAATTCTTTTTTTTCTTTCCTATTTTTAATTCTAATTTCTTATTCCTATTCTTAGCTCTTTTTTATTTTTAGTCCATATTTCATTTCCTATTCCCATCTCTAGTCACAATCTTTGTTTCCATTCATGACCTCTATCCATATTCTCAGCCCATGTCTCTATTTCCAACCTCCATTCCTATTCTCAGTCCATGTTTTCATTCATAGTCCTTATCTTTTATTTCTATTCTTAGTCTCCAAATTTAGTTTTTATCTTCCATTTTTTAAACCTTTGTTACCAAAATTGATACATAAAAATGTGCATAATTTGTTTTTATATAGAGTATAACATATTGATTTGAATCTAAATTTAATGTACTAAATTGATAATTGATAATATTTTTAGATATTTTATTTTATTTCTAATTTTATACTAAAAAAAACATATGTATTTTATAGAGTTGTATTTACAAGAATACTATCCTAATTTTAATGCTATAGATAAATCAAAAAGAAATATAATTTATAAAAATAATTAAATTAATTAGTTTATTTTTTTCTAATAAAATTTAATTTATTCACTTTGTAAAAACTTAACTTATATGTCTTATGTGTATAATCATTTAATGAAATATATATTATTTAACAATCTTTTCAATACTAACTTCAATGGCTATTTTTTACAATCTTATAAATTTCTAATTAGATTCTTACAAAAAAAAATACCATAGGAGGGTTTTTAAAGATTTCTAAAAAAAATTATTTTAGACTTAATGTTGATATTATTTCTTGCCATAGAGAATCATAACCTCATAGAACCACCTAAATTTTGACAACATAGATATACACCTTAAAAATTAAAAAAATAAAAATAAAAATAAACACATAATTAATTGGTAAATTATTTTATATTAACTTATATTTAAAAATTAAATAATAAATATCAAAATAAATTATTATAATCATTTGAAATATGAAACAATAAAATAAAAATATATTTATTTTGCTAGAATTTATTCAATTGCACATCATTTTTATTAGTCATCATTTTTTATTCTGATTTATCTAAAAGAAAGTTTATTTTATTATAAAATATGAAATATCTTTTTATTATTTCTATTTATTTTTTTCTATTATAAATTTATTTATATTTCATAAATAAAAAGTAAAAACAAACAATGAAAATCTCATCTACCTCTAATAATTATTATTTTTATAATTTTTATAAATTAAAGCTTAATACATTTATGCAACAAATATGTATATTTTTTTTGCTTAGTAGAAGTAATATGATTTGTATAAATAAATTTGAAAATAACTTAATTAAATATGATTTAAAACCTCATATTTAATTAGCTATTTTAAAATATCATGTAAGCCAAAAATTAGCATTATAGTAGCCTCTAAAGCTTTTGATTAAGAAATAAGACTACTACAATAGACAGTATTAGTAATGTAGTATGATGTCTTTGACTTAATCTACAAATTATATACAACTGTATCAAATTTATTTTCCATGTTAATAAAATAAATCTCAAAACTAAGTGACAAATTTTATTAAAAAAATAAACTTTAACCTATCCAAAATCTCAAATGTTCTTAGTTTATTAAGTAGTTGATTTATTTTATAATATTTATTTTTTAACTTTTAATAATATAATATAACATTTTTTAATTTAAATATTAAATAATAAAAAATAAATATAAATAAATATAAATATTCATAATTGCTACATAAAATAAAATATATTGAAATGTTCATATAATAAAATATTCATAAATTTGAAGTTCTTAAAAATAATGTATCATATTTTTTTTGATGTTTTATTTGGAATATTCAAATTGAAAAGTGTCAATAAATATTTATGAATTTTTAATTTTATGGATATTATATCAAATTATGTATATTTAATGCTAAAGAAGAAATTCTTAATTTAAAGTTCGACTTTGTGTTGTATGTAAGGTAATGGAAAATATTTTAAAATAAAAAGAACTTGTATGTATAGGTAAGTATTGAAAGAGGTTATTATAATTGCATGTTTACTTACATATTGGAGTAATTTTTCACATTTCAGTTAAAATATCCTTATTTTAAATCAATATCTATTATTAAATTGATTTGTAAAGATGTTGTATACATTAGAAACACCTGTAAGTAAATTCTGATATCTATAACAGATTGGCTTAATAATATAAAGAAGTGTATAATCTTAAGAAGCAGGTATACTTAACTTCATGTTGTACTCTAAACCCAACCCAATCGGTATCTTTTGTAACTATTCACCACATCAATGCATTGGGTATATATATGTATATATATATATATATATATATATGCATATTGTCAATAGTTATCATTGTAAATAACCATTCTCAATTTATAATTTAATAGTTTAGTAATAGTTAAACTACTATTAAACCATAAAATAAATTTCAACCATCAAATTATGCACATGTTCACGAAACTAGCATGACTCAACATGCATGGACAGATCCTCATTTGTTTCATCTAACCCCTGTTTTAATTCCTGACCCAGCCGTTCATCTTCAAACCATAGCTACTCTTTCAACAATCTACACCAGTGAGACTTCACATAATTGTTAAAAGACAGTTTTAACCCCAGAAATGTGAGGAACCATTAAGACAAAAAACTGAGTCAAGGATTCCATCATTGAAAGTATGGTATAATATGGAATAAATTCACACAACTGGAGTGGAGTTTACTTATTTTACTTAGTTCTCAAATCAGGAACATGGGTTTTGACCTCTGATTCTTCTTCGAGGTAAACCTTCTGATCGATTCTGTTTCTCGACAACAAGTAGACAGGTAATGAATCAAAGACATGGCAATCTAAATTAGAGAATAAACCTGTTTTGTACTTCTCATCGTTACATTAGGGACAGAACAAGATATAAAAAATAAAAATAAAAAGTGATGACTCCGAATTGCAGGATATGCAAGTCATTCCTAAAGAGATCCATTTCGAATCTTTGGCTTCGAGGATTGTGCTTGCACACTACGGCATCTTGTTAGAGAAAAATCATCGGAAGTAAAAAATTAAAAAAAAAAAAAAAAAAAAAAAAAAAAAAGCATGATGCACAACATCAACCTGTTCGGAGTGAAGCTCGAGAGATTAAGGCTACTTTCCAGTGGTCTACGTTGATCTATCAAGGAAGGTGATGCTCCAAATGGACGGTGAGCAAACTCTCGAAGGTAACACTCTTTGTATTACAGCTGGTCCCGCTACAACATGGAATCCCGATGGTGTGGTGATTTGCTCGATCACATTTCATGAAAGTGGACCTATATATCATATAGTATGATGAACTCTAGCTCGTCATAGCTAAATGATTAAGAAAATTGTAGAATCAAGTGCAAAATTGCAAGTGGGAGGTGACCTCATTTGCTCAAGAGGGGCTCCTTGAGATCCTGAGATAAGCGCCGGATATCGACTTTGTAGACATCGTGCTGGGGCTCCAGGATTTGCGCAAGTACGCCACGCTTGCGTCGTCGCTCAAGCCCTTGGCCCCACACCACGAGGTAAAAGCCAGCGACTGTTAACAAGCCTCCGAGTACACTGCAAAAAGACCCTTCGATTTTAATTTGAAGCACATGAAATGATGCATATGAGCCTGGAAAATAAAAATCAATAAGGGATGAATTTGTGACCCGAAAAGGGGGCCAGACGGGCATGGTGAGGGACTCACATTCCCATGAAAAGCGTATCCTTCAGCAGCAGGACTGACAAGACAGCCACCATGAGCATCTGTAAGGGGACGTAAAGGGAGACGATGAAAGGGCCTCCCTTTTGGACGCACCACGACTGCAGCAGCAGGTTAAGGGTCGATGCGATCAATGCCTGCACTCGTGCAAATTTGACGTACCCACGTAAGCCATGGTTCCACGAGAAGTTGGAAATGTAGACACAATCTTGCCTAATCCCTTACCATGACAGTTTGTAATGAGAAGGGGGAAAAACGAAAGCTATCCTCAATCGCGATGTGTGGTTACGAAGTCCAGGTATGGATTCAAACTCACCGCGTACAAGACCCCAACAATCTGCTGCCATGATGTAAGAGCAAACTCCGCAAAATGAAGTTTGCCTGCGCTTATTACTCCAAGAATACCCACTTGTATGAAGCCGAAGAAGTACGTGCCAGCAGTCATGCTCAGAAGAGCGGGATACATGCGCATCACTGGAGCCTGCACAGAGATAAGAACAAACGCTGCTCAACAAGTGCCAAAAATTGAAGAACCCAAAACGAATTCAAGGGAACTCTCCGTCACAGACACAAAAATAGGGCGTTTTAGTGCTGCTGTACCTGGGCGGTGAGATAGACACCCCATGAGACGCAGTTCATGAACAGGAAGAACAGTCCTAGGTGGTACTTGTTCACGCTGAACTGCACAATGTCAGGGTGAAGAAAGGCGCCAAGGTGTCCAAAGGGCTGCATGAGGCCTGCGTCATGCGTGTCGTCGCCGCCTCCGAATATGGCAATGCCCTTGTAGACGGACATGATTATGGCGCCACCAATGCAGATGGCAGTGCCGACCACCTTGGCAATTCCCTCACGCCGTCGCATATTAACTTCTTCTAATCTGAACCGCGTTCATGGGACACAAGGTCAGCTACATGACGCAATCCAAGCAAGAAAAGTGGCTGGAGACAATGGATTTGTGAATGGAACAATTTGGTACCAAGAATGCTCGGTTCTTACCCGAGCGTGATGGCGAGCAGGAAAGTGAACACGGGAATCATGTTCTGCGACACTGCAGCCATCAAGGGAGATGTGAGTTGCAGACCTGAGAGAAACAGTTGTTGACTACCCACTACTCTGCAAGAAGCACATCCGAAATCCACCACAGAATGACACACGGGGTTAGTGCGACAAAAAAGACAAAAAGTAATGGAAATAGACAACACAGACCGAACCCCTCTCCGATCCAAATCTGACATTGAACCTTGACCCACAAAACAGAGGCTTCTCGCTACGACAAGATACAGCACTACATGACAAAACGAGTCCAACTGCTCTGCACAATTGCGCAACTTCCTCCGCCTCAAACTGTAATACCATTGACGCACTGGAAATACAAACACTCTGAAGATAGTGAGCTTACCCTGTCAATGCTAGGAGATTGAGGCCTCCGAAGATCTTAAGGCTCATCGGCGGTCTTTTTTCTCTGAACAAAAAGAGTCATGGTTCGTCAGATGCCGAATCTTGGAGCAATGCTATCTGAAGCTCATGTGCGAAGCAGGAAAGAGACGAAGGTAGAGAAGCGGTGGGATGCATACCTTTCGTAGTAGTAAGCGATGGGAGCTAAAATGGCGAAGGCAATCATGTTTCGGTACATAGACAGCAAGAACTGATTCAAACCAGCGTCAAGCGCGACGCGAGAGAACATTTGCAAACCCGCGTATCCGAGCTGCACAACTACGAGCGCCAAATGAACGATTCGGATGCTATGTGTCTTCGGAGGTAACATGCACGTGGGAATCAAAGGCTCAGCTCCCTTCTTCGCCTCCTGAACCGTGTAGTTCTCCGTTTCCGAACCCATCTTGCAAAACTCTGACGCTGCAATGTGTCAGCTTGCCAACTCCGCGAGTCGGTTCCCCCTCTGAAAGTTAGCACAACACAACGCTCAACTGATCTCACCAATCCTGTTTTGGCTGCCACAGGATATGCTGCGTTTGAGCGGCGCGAAAATTGTCAACCTGTTTGGCAAGGTTGCTAACTGTCTTTTCGGGGGTATTTGTGCTCGTTTGCAACTTCAACGACTCTCTCGTCCCTCCCCCCAACTGAATATTCTTCTCACGGCAGCGCGCGCCAGGATCTGTGCAGATCAACTCGAACTCAGTACTCTCTCAACCCAATCAGCGACGACATCAACTCATTCACTTGCACTTCAAGGGTGCCGTGCCTGAAACGAGCAGGGCCTTACCCAACAGCACCGTCCTTCCAGATTAGCCCCGCCGCGTGCGTGTGCATGTATCCGCTGTTAGAATGCGAGATCACTGCACATATCGGGAGCTGAAACATAGACCAAAGGATCTCCACTGGAGTACGTGGTTTGTAGCACGAAATTCATTCACCGCGTCCAAGAAATAAAAAAAGTTGACGGTAGTAATTTGCAACCGGGCTAATGCTGCAGGATCCAAGTCACGGGCTCACTCGCGTACGCAACAGACGACTTTAAGTGCTGATCTGGGACGGACAAGATCAAAATGCAAGCACTCCAAGTCAAAAGCCAGTTGGATGTAGTCTCTGGCTGCTGAAGCATGCACAGCTTCCGCGGCAGGAAATGCACAAGTGCACCGAGGATTCAGGAGAGAGAGACACCGAGAAGGGCTGAGCACCTCTTCACGTCCCGAGTCAGGTTGCTATTTCACCCTTCACCGAGTTCCCTAAATACTCGTCGGAGAGCTTCTCCAGCTGGGTAAAATAAGTAGCCTCAGCAAATGATTCAAAATTTTCGTAGGCTTCCGAATCGCTTTTAGACCACTCCTTTCAACCCCTTTAGGACTAGAAATAAGCGTCCGAAACGATTATGGCATGGCATGGACCATCCCACTTGTACCGCTTCTGACAATCAATTCAGACATTATCAACTCCTAAGCTTCATCTAAATTCTAAATCATTAAACCCCACTGATTTTACATCCTTTCGTGTACACGAACAAGGATATTTCCAGAACGACAGCCATGAACAAAGGCTGTGAACTGAAGATCCAAAATTTTAGCTGGTGTCCAGAAACTACCAGGTTCTTTCGTGAGGCTGCACATGCCACCCACCGAAAAAGCATATCCTGACTGGTTCAATTAATTTAATCGACGATGCCACCTAGATGAATCCCTTGTGTGAGAATCATGTGAATGCAACACCACCATGTTGTTATTTTATTTGACGAACTTTCTCCTAACAAGTGCACAGTTATATTCACTCGTCTCTAGCTTTCAACATTTGACCGGGCTGGTAAGGTTCAGATAAGGCTGCAGCAGGTTGTTCAGCCACCTCACCTGCTTGGTTCCACCATCAAGCGCCATGCGTGAACAGAGAATCGGTCCAGCTAATCCACGTCACGCGCCACCTATATGTGTCGGACAATACCATGATGCAAATGACTCGAGTCCCCCTCAGGCTCTCGAGAATTGCAATGCAGCCGGAGAATCAAAGCGATCGATAATCCTGCGGCCCGTCTGAGTCATGAACATGACACCCTAAGGTGGCAGATCACAACCCAGATGGGGTTTCAACCATCCATTGCACGAAATGCAGAAAAAACCAACACCATCCATCGGCGCAGGGAAAGGAAATACATTCACACAGCTAGAACCAGCTAGATCCTGCGCTATCATTAACCCAACCGGAAAAACTTTCCCGTTTCCCCCTTGATAACTTCCTAGGACTTTGCTGCATGCATAGTCTTTGAAATATATATTTACTTCTTCTGTGTTTGGGTGCTGTGAAATTTGGTTCCACCCGTTTCAGGCGGAATGCCGGTTCGGTTCGTTCATCGATTTTGTTCACTATTTTAGTACTCGTATTTAAATAGTGCGGATCTCTTGCGCGGATATCATTGGAGCAGATGACATCCTGCTTCTGCCCAGTGTGAGGTGCAGATTTGTAGCTTAATATGCAACTTACGTAAATTTCTCAATAGCTCTGGTACCGCCATATGCTATTCGGGGGTTGGGTCAAAGGTTCTCATCCGTGCTTTAAGGCCCACCACACCTTCATCGACGATACCAGCCTCCAAATCTCCTTCTGTAGAATTTTCCTTGGACGCACTAATACATGTGCAGTTTTGGTGTGTGTTTCGATGTTGCCAACTTACTTCTTTCCGACGAAAGGCTTCGGGGGACATCAACATTCTATTGCTACAAGAGTCAGTACTCGGTGAGCCCAACACTTGGGCCTGACAGCAAGGTGCAAAATCGGAAGGCCCAGAAGGAGTGTGACAGAGTTCACGTGTGCGGAATGGACAGTTTTAAGATAGTTTAAGGATATCTACAGGCACAGGGCATAAAAAATCTATGTGGATGAAGAGAAAATGAATGTCCAGGGAATTGGGGAGCCGCGGCGTCAAGGAAAATTGCTGGAGCTGGGCTAGACATTCACCTCATGTTCAGGCGGGGGAGAAAGGAAACACTTTATGCCATCTCTGTCTGTTTGTACAAGACCTTTTGGCGCTGGGCCCCGCCAGCCTAGATCCTCTCCTCCGACCCGGGCCTCTTTCTGCCAGTTTTCGGAAGCCACGGCTCCACCAGCACCGCTCAGCAAAGCACCTCTCACTCCCACCTATCGCTCATCTTGTGTCGTAAATTTCTAACCAGGATGATGTCACAGGCTCATCAGTATCTTGAAGCAAGGGCTACGAAGAATCTGACTGCGCAAATCATGTGGGAGTGCGCACTGTTGCTATGAACAGTCGGCGAGGTTCCGGATTTCACCTCGAGTCCACTTCTCGGGATCACAGTTGGTTCGACTAAGTATCGCTGGTAATTCGATCAGCATCTGGGTGGATTAAAACAGGGGACGAATATTTACACATATGTAAGAGCGTGATCAAGTATGCTCCAGCCTGCTCACTGCGTTCAAGGGGCGGGATGTGTGAATCCAAAGCGGCCTCAACCAGACCAGGACCTTCCATAGCAAATTGACGATGCGCTATGATCAAGCTCCTGGCACCAGTGGGTTCAACTGAAAGCAAAGCAGGGGTCAACCTCTCCCTATGTTTGGGATTCCCCGCGGCGTTTACTGCGTGCAAACGTGACATCCAATTTTACTTCGGCATCCTGCATCGACTCATACGCTGCTACTTCGTTGTGCATCTTCACGTTCTTATTGTGGTTTTTTTTAGTGAGATTTTATCCGAACTTAGCTTCTTCATTGCTCTGCTGGAATGTTCGCAATGTTACAGAGTGGAATGGCCTTACGTCTCACACCAAACACTTTGCTTGTCCTCCATTGATGCGATGGATATAGCCCAATTATGTCAAAAAACAAAAACAAACAAGCAAGCACTTTGCTTGCTTACGAATAAAACAAAATAAGTATCATCTAGCTAATTGAATAAGAAAACTGTATAGTAGAATAAACAAGTCAATCTGTTGCAATAAAATATTCAGTTCCTAATCTAAAAATCAATGTAGTTTGGTGAACTTACAAATGTGAACTTTACATGAAATTCTTTTTATTCTTATTTTTATTTTATTTTTTCAAATAGAGAATCAGATGATAAGTTCTGAAATTCTTCAGAAGTATAAAAAGTCTGCAACCTCTGATTAAACTAGAAAGAAAAAACAATTAAATAAAACAGCAATTAACATTTACAGGTTAACATTTTTACAGCATCAAGACAAACAAGATTGGTCGACCATAAAAACACTGCATTGTGTAAAATAAATAGTTCAAAAACAGCACTGACAATTTGCACTCAAAAAGATTTTCAAAAAATAGTTGCCGAAGAAGTAAGGGACACTGTCAACACCTAATATAAAATACAGAAATCTCTTATTACACCTCTCGCTCTCTCTCACACACACACACACACACTTGTCCGCCGACGCCCGAGCGAGTGAGCGAGAACCGCACTGTTGGATTGATGAGTTGAGAAAAAAAGCGGCGACAGATTCTACAAAGCGGTGGCTGCGAACAAGCTAGTGAACGTTTCAACCCTATGTCGTGCTTTTTTAACGTTACTCGTTGTGAGACGAGGCGAAACAACAGTAGGCGTCCGAGAGCCGTTTCACGAATTTAACCACAGGTGGGAGGGGCTTTCCCCAGATCCTGAGGACGTTATCTCCACACTGCCGCTTGTCAGGACTACAGGCAATAATTCACCCTCCGCTCCGTGAACGACTCCCACCATGAGAGCAGTACGAACTGCTGCTGCTGCTGCTGCTGGGGGGGGGGGGGGGGGGGGGGCTCCATGCTTCGCAGGACAACAGACAACCCCACTAATCTATCGCCGCGGGGTGCTCGCATGCTCTGACAGCGTGTGTGGGGGTGTGATAGGCGAGTTCCTCACGCCCTCTGCGCTTCGATCCCCACGCCCACAGCTCAGTCGAGTTGCGTCGCGAGCTCACAGCGTGCGCATCATTCCCAACTGGACCTGAAGCCCTTTTTGCTCCCCACTCTGGGAACACCAGAAAGAACAGGTGCGCCATGCTGCCCCAACTCCCATGGTTGCGTTCCCCACTGTAAGAACGTCCGGAACGTGTTCCACCACTTGGCACTCGCTGGTTTGACTGGACCCCACAAAAGACCACCACGTCAAAAGCCCTGCCTCGTTGGATAAGGTGGGAAAATCCTTTAGAAGCAACATCTAGGATATACGTTCATTTTATTGCCTGTTTCTTCGTTTTTTTAGATTTTGAGTCCCGAGGGTTTTCTTCGTATCTTGTAGATTGTGGGTCCCGAGAATTTTCCTTTTAGAAACTACACTCAGGGTTTTGTTGTGGCGTGGACTTTGTAAGGGGGCTTGCTTGGGATATATTTTTTTTGATATCTTTTACTACTTGAGATTGGGTTGCTTGTCCCAAGACAAAAGCTTTTGCAACATTTAAACAATAATTAATTACTAACATCGAATGGTTTTGAAGTACTTTATAAATGATTTATATGCATTGTTGATTCCTCATTTTTCTTTTACAAATTCGCAAACCTTGTGTGGATTAATGAGAGTGACGTGTGCACATATATATATGTATGTGTGTGTGTATGCATGTATATATGTATATACATATATATATAAGCCCATTGTGGTCCATTGTAAGTCCACAACTCAGGTACTTTTTAAAAATAACAATAAAGTTGACAAAAGACTTCCAAAATAAACCTGTGGCAAGTGTTTTTCACATGTACCACACAAATGAAGAACCAGTCTTGTGGTAAGAAAATTTGACTACATATAAATCACTCATTTCTCTAAAAAACTGATGGGAAATAATTTTAGGAAAATGTGTACGTGAGCATTTCACAAAAATTTGTAACATACTTCAATTTCAATTTAAGTGCAAAAAGAATGAAACAACAAGGTTCAATTCAACTTAAGGTTTGATTAACTATTAACAAGTGACTAAGGAACTGAAAACTGAAGCTATAATCACAGTAAGGGTTGAATTGTGGCTTGGAATCTCACAACCAAGCACACCTTTAATGGAAAGGATGAATGGGTTTTTTTAAGCTCTTTCATTCAACAAACATTCCATAAGCATCTTCTTTTTATCCAATATGGACCTTTGTTTTTCACCTTTTAAGGGACCCTATTGTTTGACTTGTTGGGCAAAAGCTTCACATAAGTTGTAAACACATTCTACCACATATATTCATCCATGTATGATTATGTGGGCAATGGTGTAGGATTCCATATTTTAATTAATGAAAGCTCCATCTCAGGTGAAGTTT